CCGAAGTCGAAGCGGATGGTACTCATCTAGTCTTCGGATTCGTGCGGCAGTCTTGAGCCTGCGTTCCTCGAGCAGAATTTGTGCTGGCGGAATACCAGTCTCTCTTCTCAGTGCTGCAACAGGCATCGTGCGCCAGGTTGGTAGAGCCACGCGGATTCCGAAGGCAGAGGTTTGGTCGATGACTTTGCTCTGTCTCTTGTAGGAATTACGCGTCACACCTCGATAAGTTTCCCTGGTTGGCCCCGGGCACCAGACCTCCGCTGCATGCATCGCGATTGGCAGAACTACCGTGCGAATGACTGTGGTTAGTAAGTCAGGCCTTGGTCCCTGGGTGCACTGAGTGAGCCGTCGGAAGTGCTGCACTAGCCGCATTGCTTTGCTGGTCCACTTTGCGACGTGACTTTCGAAGGTCAGACCGCGATCAAGGTGTACTCCGAGCCATCGGATGTCGTCGGATGCTTGTACATCGCGAGTGCCTACCCTTATAGCCGGAAGTTCGTGTCCTCTGGATCTTGGGCCGACGAAGTAGACTACTTCGGCCTTATCTGGGTCGAAAGAGACGGCATTATCAGCGGCCCACCCTAGGACTGCATCGACTTCTCTCTGGACAGCTACTGCGGCTTCAGTTGGAGTTGAACCTATGCCGAGGATGGCAACATCATCTGCATAGCCAAATCTCCAACTACTGCCTCCCACGACTTCGGCCATGTAGAACAGAAAAAGAATTGGGGAAAGAGGCGATCCTTGTGGCAGCCCGCATTCTAGGAATACCGGGTCTGTGACTCCGTCTTCGTGTCGTACGCGAGCAGATCGTTCATGTAGGAAGGACTTTATCCAGGTGATAGCTGGTTTAGGCCACCCCATCTTGTTCATCCTCTGCAGCAGCCGTTCGTGGAGTACAGCATCGAATGCACCCTGAACGTCCAAAGTGACTAGGACTGCTTTCTTCTGCCGTTTCATTGCATGTTCTACATCGTGGATGACGCATGAGACGAGGTCGTTGGCAGACCTGCCAGTGAGTGCTCCAAAGAGTTGCTGCGGGACTGCCTTGTAGGTGAGGGCGGTGTAAGCCATTCGCCTTGCAATCAGTCTCTCGAGACCTTTACCCAGGGAGGAGAGAAGTGCGATAGGCCTCCATCCTTTAGCTGTACTGAGGTTACGGCCGGGTTTGGGGAGAAGGATTACTTCCGCTAGCTTGAAGGCCTTCGGAAAGTGATTCAATCGCAGTGAGCCCTCAAAGAGTACTCTCACTGCGTGACCAATTGATGGCCAGGCTGTCCTAAGAAGACGAACAGAAATCGCGTCTGCTCCAGGGGCTTTATTTTGGCAGGCCGTTGTAACCCACTTGGCTTCCTCGTCCGTAACGCTCGAGACCCATGGGAGGTTTCCGCGTCCTGGCTCGAAGTCCTCAGCGTCGACGTCGTTCTGACTGGTGAACCGGCCGAGAAGGAGGTCGCGCAACAGAGTTGCTCGCTTTCCTGGATCCGAAACAAGACCATCTGGAGTTTGGAGTGGTGGAGCAGCTGATGTAGGTTGCGGCTTAGCCCAGCGTGCCATCCGATACATGTCGACGTCGGTTGTTGCTTCGGAGAACTTTCGCCGCCAGTATTGGCGTTTGGCACTTTTGACTATGCGACGGAAGTCCTTTCTGCTCTCTTCGTCCCTGAATATCCTGTATTCGCGTTTGGCCTGTAGGCACTCCGACGTCCACCAAGGTGCTGTCCTACCCTTCTTCACACTCCCGCGTCTACCAGTGACCCTGATTGCGTTGCTAATAGTTTGGACCAGCTTATCAGCAAGATTGTCCACCGCGTCTACTGAAGCCATCGGCTGTAGCTCTATTCCTTGAGCCCAACGGCCTAGCACCTTTGCAAAGTCTTCGAGGGCGTCGTCTGTCACTCGAAACGGTTGGCCTGTTTTGATAACAGCTCTAGCTTTCGAGTTCGGACGGGGGAAGTCTCCTGCAAGAGTTCTGTGGTCCGATGTCGAGTCAAGCTCTATCGAGACGTCTGCAAGGGCTCCCGCGTTAGACCAGACTAGGTCGAGTGTGTTTCCAAGATCGTGAGTCGAGACGCCCGGGGTCGAAGATAGGTCCATACCGTGCTCGGACATCCATTTGGCGAGCACTTGGCCGTCACCGTGTAGCCTGGTGGCCATGGGCTGCCAGTCAGGGTGGACGGCATTGAAATCTCCACCAACTACTGTGGGCCCAGACGGGGCCCATGATAGGAGCGGCGAAAGGTCTGCTCCAGGAGCGCGATACACTGAGACAAACGTGACTCCTTCAACCTTTACGGCGGTAAGATCTGGTGATGCCTCGCAGATTGCTAGTTGTAGGCACTTGGTCCCTTTTCGCGTATAAATGAGGGATCGTGGCCTTGCGGGGTTGGCTGTGACATGGGGGGGCAAGTGCTTGTCGAACCCAGGATGCGACTTGGTGAGCCAGAAGCCGTCCTTGTGTTGAGTCCAGGGTTCCTGGATGAGTAGGACATCGGTTCCTGAATCCCAGGCGGATTGCAGGATGATGTCTGTAGCGGGGTCTCCTCTGCCCAAATTAGCGCAGAGGAACAAGATCGTTGTTGCCGTTGTGTGTAGCTCGGTAAGGTTGTGGTCCCTTACGGGCATTGAGCAACGTTTGTAGTTTCGTTTTCAGCAGTCGCCTCAGCGGCTTTCTGCTTTGCTTCCAACTCTCGGATCGAAGCGTTTCTTTCTATTTGACCTTGTTCCCGAATCACCGACAGCTGGTCTCTTGTGCGTTGCACAGTCTTTCCGCCGGTCCGCGTCGGCCTGGCCATGCAGCTAGGCTCGGTTGCGGCATGCGGCCCATGGCAATTGATGCACCTTGGGACGAGCTGTTTGCACTCGGTAGCCTTGTGCTCAATCGATCCACAGCGAGAGCAGCGCTCTGCTCGTGAACAGATCTTAGTTGGGTGGTGTCCCCAGCATCGGTTGCATTGCGCAATTTTGGCTTTACGCTGAAGTTCGTGTAAGCGACCGCTCTCTTCGAAAAGTCTTTCTCCCAGATTTGGCTTGCCGGTTGCAAAATGCAACACCCAGTCGGTTGACGGCCTAGCCATGCTTGTTGCAAAGGCACGAGCCGAGGTCGGTCTAACGCCTGTCTTTAAGGTCGCTTCCTCCATTACCATCTCCGATGTTACTGGCGTTGGTCCTTCTAAAGTGAAGAGTCTGTCTGGTGCATTAGGCGCCAACACTGAGATCCAGTTGGAAGCAGCTTCCAGTTTCATTTCCGTGCTCTCCAGGAGTACGGCGCCTGAGAGGAGCGCGTTTCTTGCTCCGTCTCCTTCAGCTAGTATCGCAAACCCTGAGTTGACGATGGTAACCTGCTTAATTGCAGAGTTAGCTAAGCGCAGCTTGCTTGCGAGGCTCATTTTGATGTAATGAGGAGACATGCGTCTCCATGGGTGGTCGGGCTTGACCCGCAGGAAAACACGCTCGTCTGGGCGAGCTAACTTGGCAGCTGAGGCAATAGGCCTCGGAGTTTGTGTGGGCCCTGTCGCTTTTGACTTAGGCTCGCTGGCTGGTTGCGATTTTGTCGCTGCTGGTGGTGCGGCCTTAGTCTTTTTCCTCACTACCTGAGTCCAAGACCCCTCAGTAACGATGGGGGTTTGTATAGAATCGATGTCGATTGGCCTAGTAGGCTTTGTCGAAGCCGGCTCTTTGCCTTTCGCCTGGCTGCTTTCTCTCGTGAGTATTTGCACTGGTCGTGAAGTGCTCGCGCTATTCTTTCCTCCCGACCTAGTAGCCGACGTAGGGAGGGTTGTCGTCTTGCTGCTACTGGCAGCCTCTGATGGCCCACTGGATTGGGGCTCGGGGTTTCCGCGCAGGATGTTTGTGATAGTGGCCTGTAAAGCCTCTCCATTCTTTTCGACAGCTCGTCGGAGCTGTTTGTCGGTTGTGGCCACCAGTAGGTTAATGTACCCACTGACGATACGCTCAGCCTTTGCAAAGCGTATGTTAAACGCCCTCGCTTCATCTGCGAGGAAGTTAGTCAAGGAAGCACCCATTGACTCGGGGGGGTTTGGGGGCGAGTATTGGCAGCTCGCCTCGCAGATCGGTTCTGCGTTTGCTTGTGTGTTGTTGTGGTGGTGGCTAGGTGGCCCTGTGAGGACCATTTCGACGTCAGGACGCGTCGAATTTACGGGTGGGAGAGGGGGCCAAGAGCCAGCCTCATCTACGGATGAGTGTAGCAATTGGTGGTATCTAATTTATCACTAACCTGTTTCCATTTCCCTGGCTCTGCATGCTACACTGCGTGGATAAAGATTTACTACTAATGTGAAAAGCGCATTCATGACACATTCCCCCGACAAAATTTGAAGATGAGTTGGTGTGAACCACATAGATATGGACGCATTCTAAATGAAGTTTACCCGGGGTGAGATTGATAGTTATGTGATTCAGGACCTCATTTACTGCATACGATTAGATCTACTCCACCATGTCCCGCGGCTTCACCAAAGGGAAGAGACATGGTTCAATCTATGTGTTGCTCGGAAATGAGCTATCCTGCCAAAATGACTCGCCATATAATGACTTGGAGTGCCCAGCCTATTGAAAATGCTCATAGAAAATCTCCATCTCCATTTTCTATCTTCCATCAAGATTTACAGAGTTTTACAAAGATAAATCTTATTTTTCCTGTAGCTATGTTCGGCCTAGCATCCCCAGGCTATTATAATTTACCAATTAAACGTGGGTTACTATCTCGTCAGCGTCAAAGCAAAGCTGACATGATATGCGCAGCCCAGATGTTATGTGCTTACGTATTTCATCTTCTACCGACTCAAAATCAATTGAAAATGGAGCGCCAGGTAGTTGTAGCTATGAATTAGGAGACTCCCACGTATGATGTCTATAAACCCAAAGTTCATGGCCAGTTCCCCAATATCGAAGGTGAATCTGATATTTTTGCGACGTCCCACACATTCAGGGGTCCTGGAACATATGTCAAGGCGTACTGCTCCTTTTCCCTTTCAACAATGGACATTGTGGGCAAAATATTTCAGGGTCAAACTCCTGTGACTGACATATCACACGTCGACTTTGGCGGAAATGAAGCGGAAGAAATTGAATGTCTGAATTACATTGAAGGATTGACGCCTGCTACTGATGAGGCAGAAGGCTTGAAAATATCGCGAATCCGGACGCACAAAAATTGTCCGGATATTACGCTAGCTCGTCTGGCCTATCGTGGTTGGATATCGATCAGAGGCTTGTATTCTGTATGTGCCCCACGGAATCAACGAATATTGGCCAGAGTAGATGCTGATTATCCTATCATCATTGAAAACGTTATTTCCGCAAATCATTTCTTCATGTGGGATTTCCAACAGGCACGTACATACGCATTCGCTTGGTACATGGGCCATTTACATGTCTTCGAATGGTTCAGAATGGGTAATATTTGGCGCCCAATCACTGATATCAGTACACCGGAGAATAACCATTATAAAATTTTAAATACGTTCTTTTTAAATCACAAGGTAACCCTGGATTTTGCCAGTCGCGATAGACAAGGTGCGTGTTCATCTGAAAAGAAGGGCAGCTCCGGAAGATGGGCAAGCTACATGCGTCGTAAAGACAGTGATTCAAGAAGAGATAAGACGGAGCATTCACTAAAAAATGCAATCGAGGCTGTACGCATATACGACCTCGGTTTCTTTTCCTCGCCCCTTCCCACTGGCAGTCGTGGCCTATTGGGCTAAGCTGGGTTGACAGGAATTTCAGCGCCTAATAATAATAGGGGAGCGAGGACGCTTGACTTCACACAGAGTTAGCCCTGTATATCTTGCCGTATGCAATACTAATCATCGACGAGTGATTCCGCCTACACCATAGACTTATGGTGTAAATATATTTTGATTCAGCTAAAACCGAATTAGTATGTAGAAGATACTACTTATCTGGAGTAAATTTTTCTACATAGTTGTAAACTGATAAAGGAAGTAAATGGACAAATATTAGACAAATTTTGAGCTCTTCCTTAATCAGACTCCGGCTGCAGAGATAGACAGGTAGGTAGCTAGATGGGTACTTATTCGTGACGAGTACAAGCCTGGTACTCGTACAGCATGACATGGAGAAAGCTAGTTCTTCCCCAACAATAGTAAACAATAACAACTCAGCCCGACATCTGGACTACTCATGTAGTGTCTGCACTCGCTGATACCACTCGAGACCTTTGTGCTAGGCACTTTCACCCTTCCCTAAACCATTGATATCCATCAAAGAGAAAACAGGAAAAACTTTGGCTACCCTGACATGCCTTTCCCATCTTGTAAATCCCAACTACGCGAGATATGTCTTCACAGTTGTCCCTTTCTCGAGTGAAGGAGGTGTACAGGCTACCCAGACTTTGATTTGGGGAGATGATAGCCAGGAGGTGGACCACAATACCCCTAATCGTTGCCTGTTGTAAAACTATTGGTAGTACGTGTTGTAACCAAGGCAGTATTTTTTATTTATTTATAGTGTATTCAGCAATCTAGCTATGACAAAATATTAGTGTGTTGTGATGTAATCGTCTTGGTAGAATGAAGATTTAGTTGGGAAAGAGACTGGGTTAATGTTAGCGTATGCTGACTAGGCGGAGCTTTATTTCTGGTATAAATATTCAACAATGGATACATTGTAACGTTGTAGATACAGTTAGAGTAGAGAAACAAAATAAACGACAAGCAGCTCTCTTGTCACTTCCAGACCTCATCAACGGCTCAACATCCGCTCTCACGTGCATCTGAAAATATATCCTCTAGCTCAAATCCATAATATCGTGCCATCATTCTTAACAATCTTGGAATAATCCCTTATTACACTTCACCCCCTGTCGCTCTTGTCGGATATGTCCGAATAAATGAGATCGATCTTCCGTCATTCTTAGCATGCCACCCGTTCGAAAAAAGCGTCCCAGCGTCATGTTAGACAACACGAGAGTGCGCCTGAGGGCTCTCGATTAAACAACGGGCCTTGCCCAGTGTCGGGGGATGAATGATCATGGTCATAAACCATATGATGAAAAGATTTACTACAGATCTAGAAAGAGGTTCAAGGTGGAGAGGACCTATATACAGCTTGCTTTACAGTGGAAACATGAGTCCGAGCGCTTTTGCAAATGATCTATACCTTGATCTTATTGCATGTTCCAGCTGCCATATACAAACAATCGCTACTTGGAATAACTCAATTCGGCTTCAATGCTATTGTTTCGTTCCATCACACCCAGTCTCCAAGATGCGTGAAGATGGGAAAGGCCTCAAGCAAAGGGAAGTAAAAAGCCCTTTCCGCCGAGCCTGAACCGGCTTTACGATTCGGGAAAAGTATGAAATTAAAAGGCAAAGGCTCCGAAATTGGCAAATATTAACGCCAAACTCGAAGAAGCTTCCGAATCGCGAATGTACCCGCGATTATCAAAACTATTAACAGTATTAATATGATCATTGCTGCGTGGGTCTCAGCCGAGATACACTCCAAAACTAGCTTGGAGCCAGCCCAGGTACGACCACAGGAGACGTACCGTCCTGGTGCGCTGTACAGAAGCTGGCATACCCTATTTGCCCGGGATTCCGCCCCTCGTTCAGGCTTAAGCATCTTCGACGAGTATGGAATGGCTGTAAAGCACCAGCCTCATCGAAAAGTTCAGCAGTGTTATCGCTGCCTAGGCTTGCACGCCACTCATGGTTGTTCCCGCTCTCCAGCTTACCTGAGCTGCGCATCAGCGATGCACTCTGAAGTAGAGTGCAAAGCTTCCACCAAGTGTCACAATTGCGGTGGCTCTCACCTTTCGGAAAGTCGAGACTGCTTAGCTCGATCGACCCAAGCTAGCCCAATAACCACGGAGAAATTGGTTTTCATTCGACAGGCCAGCTAACGAGAGTTCGATGCAGTATCCCGAGTGAAGGCTGCTAGAAGGGGAGTCGTGGTAGGAAGTCAATCTGCCTCGAAAGATACGATGATGTCGAGGGGGGGCTAGGCTTTGAGGCCTAGAGCCCCGTGGAAAGGCATAAGATGCGAGAAGCAGCTGGAAGAAGTCAGAAATGACTTGAACAAATTTTGAGGTGGGACCAATCATTGTGGAGGAAACCAGGCCACTTATCTCCAGCTCTCAGCGAAGATTGAGCAATTTTATCATTTGGGAGATGTGACGGATGAGAGAATCTGCGAGGAATACATTCCCTGAGTCCTACTTGAAAGAATCTTCTATTTTTATACTCTTTTTGCGATTTGTTTTGGTTTTCGTTTTCAACCAGCAATTATTTGCGTAGCAGTTTAAGTGATGAGAACAAGTCGGACGTGTCATAGCAGGTTTGACGTAGCACTTGAAAATTAAAATAAACAAACATTATATACATAATTTACATTCCCCAAACTCCTTCCTCATTTATTGTTTACTCATTTACTTGTTAATTTCCAATTGGTGTTTCCTATGCTAATAGCCTTTGTGTGATACCATGCACCTGGATGTGTCCAAATATTCGAGGAGAGCTTCCTTTCCTAAACTAAGGCAGTAACATGACTGCAGTAGACAAACAATTCATATTAGAATAATACGCACTTGCGCCATAAGATATGATTAGCCCATATTATTACTCATTGTCATGAATTGTAATTACCCAAAGTATACCGCCCGATATTCTATGGCTTTAGGATCTCCATCAACTCTCTCATTTAGATTAGATAAGGAAATAGATTGGAGTTCACATAAGTGTGCGGAAAACTCCGCTTTCATGTATATAGGACTTCTCGCCATCCGCATAGAAATATAGCAGTTTAATCATGGTTAATGTATGAACAATAGCGTTTATTTATTTATTTATATATAATATTTAACATCTTACCCACGCACAACTCGTGAGCTTCTCACGTACCGGTTAGTCCAGTCTAAATTAAACTACCCGACGTGTTGGCGCCTACACAGACGCACCAAAGCAAACAATAGCTAGGATCTTATCATCCTGCGCTCGAAGATTATAGTGTACATGAAGGTCGTCCGTCCAACAAATCTCATGCGATGCAGTTGGTACTAAATCAAGGAAAGATTTTACAAAACAAAATAAAAAATATAAGGAGAAGATTGTATATATCAGACCATGATTTCGTTCGAATCAGACTTTTCGTTGTGCCCTTTCGAAGAAATCTGTGACACGCACCAAGTTATTGAATGCATCAACTCCCTCCGTTGAAGCAAGAGCCCAAGATACGCTGGGATTAGAATTCTGTGCCCTGTGGAGCTGAGCTTGGTGTTGCAAGAGGTGGCAATAGAAAAAGTGGTTGGGGGACTTCTCTTCTCCGCATGTGCAGGCTAGAATGGCGTTTTCATGCTTCAACCGTCTGTAGTAGTCTGCGAAGTCGCCGTGACCGGACCGCGCAGCTAGTAGATATCCTAGTGTGCGTCGTCCCTGACGGGCGAGCTTAATGGTAACTTTAGTATTAGGGCCAATACCTAATTCTTTGTATCTAGAAGGTGCATTATCTGCCCAATAAAGTACAACAGAAGACTCGTATTGGGCTTTGACTTCTCTCCTTACCCTCGCAATGGAGAGTTCTAAGTACGGAGCTTGAGCCGCACAGGCGGTGTAAGGATTCTCCTTCACATCCTAACCTTAGTTTATAATTTTACCCTTCTCCTGATGTAGTTATGACAATAGTACAGTTCTTGGCACTTGGTATTATGTTGATACTAGTTTATGGCCTACATTGTGATAAGCTAGCAGAAGCAAAGTGGGTGTATGTATGATGGCTTGGTCTGTAGATACAGAGTTTTCCACACTTAGTTTTATGCTACAACCACCACCTTCGGATCATCTCTAGTCACCTCTAGTATCTTTAGTCACCATTAGTACTTACTAGAACCTTTAGACTTTTTAAATATTTATATTACCCATCTTTCAAAACTTTAGTTCCTCCAAGTTATCTCCAGGAGATCTTCAGTCATCTCTTGCAGTCCATACAATCTCATCTCGCCCTCCAATTCCACTTCAGCTCAAACGTCCGCGCTCCAATCTGACTGGCGGCTTTAGCGAGAAAGTCGGCAACTTTGTTTCTAATAATACCTTCGTGGCTTAGGCACCATCGAGCAGCTACTTCCACAGGCGGCGTATTTTGACCGCGTGATCTTCTTTTCCAGTTCATTGCGAGCTTGCGAGAGATTAATATTTTTGCCGAGCTAGACGCTGTCGGCGTATCCAAGAGTAGACGGATGGCAGCCTCCTGGCTGTCAAGGCAGACAGTGATGTTAGAGGCAAAATAGGCCCGTGGGTTGCAAAGAGCTACGGCAAGACCTTCAGTGGCCCCGGCAATCTCTGCATCATACACTTCTGCCGAGTTTCCTAGAAGGAGTAATCCTCGCCCAATCTCCTGCGTGAGACCTCGGTAGATTACATAGCCCGCACCTGCTCGGTCTTCTATTAGAGCTCCGTCTAAGAATACGAACAAGTCTAGGATAGGTCGTGTAGCTTGCCACTTTTTGAAGGGATTTGGTCCCAGGAGCCTACGTACTGCCCCAATTTGGATTAGCTTTTCTCCACGAGGTGCCTACCATGGTGGGGGTATGGTGTCATCGGAAATTTCTAACGGGATCCTCTGACAGATCCAGCGCATGTGACTAGTATTTTAACGCCTACGAAGAGGGTGGTACGGGTCTGCTGCCGCAATTCGAACCGCTAGACAACTGTGAATTCGGGAGAGTCACGTCTGAGCTGGGCCCCAG